GTTCAGGCCTTGGGGCAGAGCATGGCCCTGGCCTGACTCATGACCAAGATGAAAACAAGATGCAACCACGTGGAGGTATCCTTTCAGGCACTGCTTATGCGTAACTAGTCATGAGAGTGGGTTCCTCTTGTTCAGTCTGGGATGCTGCAGACGTCTACTCTGTAGCTACATCTACCTGTCGCACTTTATAGTCAGGTGTGACGGGCTTTGGGCTCAGGGCAGGACAGCAGGACCCAGGGCTATGTGCAGCCCAAGAGTCCTGCATGTGACAGCCCTGCCCAGGGCAGGTGGCTCAAAGCCAGTGAGGAGCAGCTTTGATCCTACATGGAAGGTGCACCTGTAGTGGCAAGGTCTTTTCTCTTGCTTCTCTTTTGACCCTACCTACAGCTCTTCCCCTCCCCAGGGCCCTCTCTGATCTCAAGGTCTGTCTTCACAGATGCCCCATGGACACATGCCTCTGCCCAGTTTCTGGAGGATGGTGGAAGACACCTTGCAGCAGTCCGGCACTCAGCTCCATACCTTCTGCCAGACATTTGAGACAGTCACGCCGAGCCCTGTGACACAGGTGGGAGCTGGGAAGGGGATGTCTGAGGCCAGCTGGATGAAGAGGCAGGACTGCAGCTTTCCAGGGCAGAACGTCTCCTTCGGGGGAGGTTGACTCAGAAAGTGGCACAGGGGGTTGCCACAGTATTTCCCCGAGGCAACCAACAGTTGGCAGGAAATAACCAGGCTGAAACAGTCTCAGCTCTTCTAGTTCTGGAGACTTGTCTCCAAACCATGAGGTAGAGCAGACGGTTAGTGTGAAGGAGTTTCTCTTCTAACCTCTCACTGGAATGTGATCATGCAGGAAGGAGAGCATGTGTACATGGAGGGCCTCAGTCTCCTGCCTATCTCATTAAGTGCTCCTCTGTCTCTTGCTCCCCACCAGCCTCTGAACCCTGCCGAGGAGCGGAAGGTCCTTTCCCTTGTGAGCAAGCACGGCCCAGACAAACTTTACCAAGTGACAAGCAACATAAGTGGCAGCAAAGACTTGGACCTGACCTTGCAAAGGGGACAGATTGTAGCTCTGCTGCAAACTGTGGACACTAAGGGGAACACGAACAGATGGCTGGTGGATGCTGGAGGTACTGTGAGTGCTACGGGGAGTCTCTTCTCACATCGGTATCTGGGTCAGAAACCAAACCTGAAGCACTTCCTCATCTTGGATGAAACAGCAGGCCATTGCCTCTTGGGTCCTCCCTTCAGGGTTTGCTCAGCCCCAACCCACCTCTGCTTTGCCAGCTGCACCCGTAGCCATTAGCTGTAAAGTTCAGGTTTCCCCATGAGGGAGCACTCGTGGCTCGTCATGGCTGGGAAAGGAGAATCCTGAGCACACAGAAATGTCTTGAAACCCCTTTTGGGGGGCATTTACTGCTGGATATCCCCTAGTGATGGACCAGTTTGAACAGGGCTGCTGTGCCCTGCCAGGCAACAGCCAAGTTGTTGTTCCTCTCTCCTCCAACCAGTCCCGCATGTGCCAGGCAGTGGGGCCCCATGACCTATATGTGTGCGTGTCCTCCAGGTCCCAGAGGGTTTGTGCCTGCTGGAAAACTCCAACCCTATTGCCCAGTACAAAGCCAGCAGCCTGGGATGCAGATGCCAGCCCTGGAGAGTGACACAGAGAGAAGGCGACATTCCTATGCGTCCCCTGAAGCTCCCAGGCCCCAGGTGGCCACCTTCACCCCAGCTTTCCAGGTGAGAGTGGGAGACAACCCCGAGGGCCATTCCTAGCAACCCCATCAGCTCCATGCTAGTCCTTGTGTGTGCAACGTGTGGGTGGGAGGGAAGGTGGACCTGCTTTTCCAGCTCACACATAGCCGTACACGTGCAGCCATGTGCCTAGCAGGGCAGTGTCACAGCCCCTGGCTGAGTGTCCATGAGGCTGATGTCTGCCTTGCTGGGACCTGGGGTGGACAGAGCAAGAGAACTGCACTTGGTGGGGTCCCTGGTGTCCCTCCATCGATGGCACTACTGCACTGCCCTCTTGGAAACAGCCTCTGTGTCCCCTCTAGGTCCTGCCCTGTATGTCCTTTCCCTCTTTGACTCTTATGTCCAGCAAGGGCTTCCTCCCTCCTTCCCCTGCCTTTTGCAGGTGGTCGCTGGCTTCTCCTTCGCAGCCAGGAGTCCACAGGAGGTGAGCCTCCAGGCAGGGCAGCCGGTGGTGGTGCTGGAGCCGCATGACAAGAAGGGGAACAAGGAGTGGAGCCTTGTGGAAGTGAACGGCCAGAGGGGATATGTGCCCTCCAGCTACCTGATGACTGTCCCTGTGCAGGAGCCTATGGGCTGGAGCTTGCCCGTGTGAGCATGGCCAGCCCAGCACCCAAGGGCACAGGCTTCGTTGGATGAGAGTGATCCGCTTGGCACCCAAGGACTTGTCACGGGAGATGCTGGAGGTGGGATGGTTGTGGTGGCCCTGGGCCAGGGAGGCAGTGGGAAGCAGCTGGCAGAATACAGTCCAGGGGCCGTGAACGCGGGGGGACAGTGATCAGGAGGCACTTTTTGATGGGTAGGTGTGAGGCTGCCATGTCCCATACGTGTTTGCACAAAGGAAAGGAGTGTGAGGGAGTGAGGGCAGGTGGCTGCAGTTTTCCGCGATGGGCTGAAATCCATGGCGGTGACGTAAGTGTCCCTGGGGGTGATGAGACAGCACTGTCCCCAGTGAGATCAGGACTGAGCTGCAAAGGGTGCAGCTCTCCAAAGGGGGTTGTCAGCCTGACATGGAGCATCTGGGGCTCTTGGAAAGAGGCTCTCGGGGGAATCGCTGGTTGTAAGGACAGAGACCGAAGCGAAGCAGCCCCAGTGACGCTGGG